GTAAAACGGTGGAAGTATGTTTTTTTAGGAAATATATCCATGTATACATACTATATATATTCATTATATATTTTCTTATATGAAGCCTTAACGACATTCAAATGCATTGTCACCCCCCCCCTCCCTTTACTATACTCTAAGTACAAAATAATAAACAACATCTTGCTTTCTAAGGCATTCTAATATCATCATTTTTTTTAGAATTATGTCAGTGTATAAACTCTAAGGGTCAATAACGCCAGATTTCGAGAGACAGGATACGATCATCTTGTTACCATCATGATCACCTCTTCAATATGCAAAATAAGCAATTATCTCTGACAACGCTGCAATTCGCAAACGCAGATCATAGAGTGGAGAGAAATTAAAACTAGAATAAAGGGTAAAGAAATCATCTTAAAAAGACGAAAGAATTGAGGAAAATTATAAAGAGGGATGAAATATAACAGGGGAAAAAACGAAGGTGTTCAGTAAAAAAAGATTAAAGAAACGAAAGCGAAAGAGATACAGAATATAATCACAATAGAAAAAAAAACAGGAAAAAATATAAGATGAAGTAAACAATGAAAAGGCGAAAAAGAAAAAAATAAGAAAATAACAGCAAAAAAAAAAGGAAATTAACGAGAAAAAATAACAGCGAAAAAAAACAAAAGTATTCAGTGAATACGCCACATCTCCCTGCCCGCATCTCGACACTTTCAAAACTACAATTTCAATTCCCAATTTGTCTGTGTACAAATACCCAAAAAAAGAATAAAGAGAGGAAGAAGGGAGGGAAAGAGAAGACGATGGTAATATCATACGAGTCCCCTGCCTGCCACTCCAAACCACCGACGCCAGAGTTTGAATTTCGCGGGCAAAGTGACGCGGGCAGGCGACCTTGTCCCGGGCGGGCGAGGCGGAGGCGCTGCTTCTCGGACTCCGATTCGTGACTGCACGGGCGCCGCAACTCGGACTTTTTTTTTCTTTTTTTTCTGTATTTCTGGCTGTGTTATTGTTAGAGCGTTTGTTGTTTTGCTGGCTGAAGCATCCGCGCGCGCCGTGTGTCTGTATGTGTTCACGCAGACACACACACACAACACACACACACACACACACACACACACACACACACACACACACACACACACACACCACATATATATATATCATATTTATATTATATATATGTATGTATATATACATATATTTACATATATAAGTGTGTGCTTGTCTTCGTGTCTGCATATGTGCGTCTGTATATGTACACGTGTGTGCTTCCAGAAGCCCCAGCCTCACTGCACGGAGAGAGCCCGGCGCTGCTCCTTCCCCTCCAAGAGCCACTCCCTATCTGAAGGCCTGAGCACTTCACTTGCCTCGCCTCTCGCTCTTCAGCCGGCAGTGATTTGCAGTGTGAAAGCGTCGTGTTCCTTATCGAAAATATATTAAATAAAACGAAATGAACTAAAATTAATCACAATAGATTTCTTAAAAGATAATAAAGCTAACAGACATAGATCACAAAATGAAATCTTTACTTGTTTTATTTTTTTTCTCTCTCGTTCAGAAAGCACGAGTAAAATTTTTCGAAAGATGATACCCCTTTTGCCACTAAATAAACAAAAACGAAGAACCAAACGAAACTATAAGCCTAGATTTGCAAAATAACTCTAGGTTAATTACAACAAGTGCTAATTAAGCGAGGCTTGTGGAAGTGGCGACAAATTCCTTAAGCAAGTTTCTCACTAACAAAAAAAAGGAAAAAAAAACGAGAGAGACGCAAGACGTTCAAGGTGAAGCTAAGCGTCCTGCGGCCATTCAAAAGGGTTCATTCACACAGTGTTTTCGTCGACAGTTTTCTGAGATTAAAAGTTCGGCGGCGGTGAGGTGGAAGAAGAAATGAAGGAGGGAAAACGGAGAGGAAAATTCGAGGAAAGGTAAGAGAAAGGGAGAGTTCGATTGAAAGAGGGATGTGTTTGGTGTGAAAATCTTACAAGATTTGATTATATATATATATATATATATATATATATATATATATATATATATATATATATACGTATGTATATGTATGTATGTGTGTGTGTGTGTGTGTGTGTGTGGTGTGTGTGTGTGTGTGTGTGTGTGTGTGTGTGTGTGTGTGTGTGTGTGTGTGTTCCATGTATATATGCTTAAGAGTACATTCATGTTATATGTACAAAACATAATTGTGTACACACAAGCACACACACACACATACACACACACACACACACACACACACACACACACACACACACCACACACACACACACACACACACACACACACACACACACACACACACACACACACACACACACCACACAAACTATAGATAGGTATATAGAGAGAGATATTGACCGACAGATAAATAGAGAGGGAGAGAGAGACAGACAGAATGACATAAGACATAGATAACAAAGACAGACAGACCGATAAAAAAATAATCCAACGGACGAACATACATACTTACATACATATACACCTACCTGCTCGAACCTCCGTTGCGTTTCTGGTCCAAATATAGCCAACACTGGGGCCTGGGCGTTGTTGTTATTACTGTAAACAAGGTCGCTAGCCACTTACCTGCTAAAGTTAGCAACGTGAGACGCTTCTGCTAAATACAGTTGCTTTATATCCACAGGTTTGAAAGATAATTTTTTTTTCTTTCACTTGATATAAATATGGTAGAATATGTTAGATATAGTTATTTTCTCCTGATGAAAACATAAATCGTAGGTGTTGATGATGCTGTACGATTAAATGGCTAAATATATTTGGTTACAGTTGCTCCTTATCCACAGGTTTGAAATAAACGTCGATTTTTTTATCTTTCATTCAATAAAAATAGAATAACATATACTAGATAGAAATATCCATGAGTTTGAAATACCTGTATACAGAATTTCTTATTTCTTTCACTTAATAACAACATAGTAACGTATGCTGAATGTAATTACTGCTTATCCACAGGTTTGAAAAATACGGAGACTTTTTTTCATTGTTTTTACTTGATGAAAGCAAAAGCCGTATGTGTAGATAATAAGCATTGTTAAATGACATTGGTTATCAGATAAAAGTGTTGTCTTGTAATATGTGATTCTATTATCTTTTATTTATTTACAGCCTTCTTATATCATAGGGCATTTCCATTTTGCTTTTCAAATCAATGCTCGTTTTTCTCTCTACTCTCGTGTACGTCTGTACATGTGAGAGAGCAACGGAAAAAACACACATCAAAATTTAAAGTTTACACAGACAAACAGACACGTAAAGTTTATTTACAAATATCCTAGTTACGCAGTTTGCATTTCTCGCAACTTACGATACGATTGCTATATTTGGCGACATGAGTAAATATAGAGAAAATATATGAACAAAATTATTCTGATGGTTAAAATAAAGATGATGGCATAGATGGCAACATTTGTAGCAGCTGCATCAACATCAGTGAATATTATAATGATAATAACTATTACTATCATAATTATCATTATTTTCATTTTTATTATCATCATTATCGTTATCACCATTTTCATTATCATCTTTAATTTCATAATCATTGTTATAACAATTATTATCATTATTATTGTTATTAACAATATTGTTAAAATTATTGTTATTATTATTGGTGTTATTATCACTATCATTATTATTATCATTATCATCATCATAATCGTTATTGGTATTACTACTATTATTATCATTATGATCATCATTATTATCTTATTATTATTATCATTATTATTATTATTATTATTATTATTATTATTATTATTATTATTATCATTATCATTATTATCACCATCAGCATTATTACCATTACTATTGTTACTATCATTATAACAATAACAATAATGACAATAATCATAATAACAACAATGATAACGATAATGATGTTGATAATAATAATAATAACAAAAATTATAATGATAATGATGTTGATAATAATGACTATAACAATCACTTCATACATAGCAATAACACCGTGGAAAATTATCTCGACTATTAGTGTAGTTGTTATGCCTCTGAGATTCGGTTTTGTTACAATGGTTAACGCGTGTAAGGGTTGGAGACTTCGATGCACTGCGAATAGTGATCTGAAACAACGAAACATTATTTTCTTTTATGTCGCGGAATCAGATAAAACGTTGATGTAAATTTATAGAGATACACATGCGCGCACAGACACAGACACACACGCGCCCACACACACACACACACACACACACACACACACACACACACACACACACACACACACACACACACACACACACACACACACACACACACACACACACACACACACACACACACACATAAACATATGTATAGATAAGTAGAAAGATAAATAGATAGATGCGGACTTTGTATTGTTGATATTTTCTAATAAAAGTATCAAACTTTGTTTTTTGATTGACTCACTTGTCGCATATTCCTTTGACACAATGAAAGAGATATGTGGTCTACTTTTATGCAAATTCATACTCAAGTAACCAATCTATGAATGTTTAAGTGAATGTTTTTACATCTAGAAAATCTGGATAATTTCGTAACGCCACTGTCGAAACATTTCTTATCCAAGGAGAGAAGATAATTTAACTTATAGCCATTCCCGGTGTCTGGCTGAGCTATCAAGTATTCTAGACTGCGACAACTGAACAGTAAAATATACACCAGTGACAATAGCAAGATAAATTCAAAGACTCATCAGCTAAAACTGTTTTGCTAACTTTTTGTGATAATTTTTTATCCCTTTATTCACTCCAATTGGTAAAAAGATCGAGTTTCCTAACCAACAACATTCACTATCATCATTAGCAAAAAAATTAATAATAATAAAATAAAATAAAAAATGAACACAACAATAAATTCAGTTTTAATACATTAAATACAATCTAATCCTCTATTCCCTCCCGCGCACCTATCAAGTAGCACCGAAATCCTTTTGCCTAGGAACGTAGGAGTATTAACGATGCTCTTTTGTCACCCTGCAGATAACCACAGCGAGGCGAAGGAACACCAGAGTTCAGTACCCACTCGCGTCCACTACCTGGGCTTCAACGTGACGCTTCATCACAGAGAAAGGGTCACGAGGTCAACTCTCAGGCTCTATGCTCTCATCACACGTGACCAGTACGCTTATATAGGTGAGGAGGGGGATGGAAGAAGCGGGTGGGAAAAGGGAGAGGGAGAAAGGAGGAAGAGGGAGAGAGAGAAAGGGGGTAAAGGGAGGGAAATAGGTGGGGTTAAGAGGGGAGAGAGAGGGAGAGGAAAGAAAGAGAGAGAGAGAGAGAGAGCGTAAGCGACAGGCGGAGAGAGAGAGCGGGCAGAACCGCCATTACAGTCCGGTCACACCCAGGTCCTCCTTCCGCATGATCTCCATGTCCTGACCCCCTCCCCCCTCGTCCCCATCAGGCGTGGAGCGTCGCGTCCGAGTGGTCATGAAGCAGTCCGGAGACTCCAGTGACGCAGAGGGTGACGCAGAGACCGTGACGGTGTGCCAGCGCGACGTTTACGAAATGCAGAACGTGTGGGAGACCTTCGACGTCACTTCGGCGGTTCGGTACTGGCTGGCGAACCCCGACGAGCCGCAGGTCCTCCAGGTGAGCTTGAGGCGGGCGACGGGGCGGGAATCGCTAAGTGGTTGGGCTCCTGGGGCTCTCGGAGGCTCTCGGGCTTGTTTGTTTGGTCTTGCTTGGTTTTGTTTTAGGGCAGTCAGGAAAGTTTGGGAATTGGCTGTTAAACATATGGTGGTTATATACAAAGTTGTTTTGGTCTTGATGGCTTGGGCTTTCGTGGGCTCTGGCTTCTTTTCTTTTCTTTTTCTTTCTTTTTTTTCGAGGCAATCAGGAAAGTTTAGCGTTTATTTGTATTATTGTGGCTCTTTTCCTTTTCATCTTTATGTATCTTTTTGTTTCTGTTTATATAAAGTAGTTTCTCTCTTGATGATTCTCTGTTTCTTTTAAAGGAAAGTTTGGCGTTTAATTGTTATGGTTTATTTAATTTCATTTCTCATTGTGGCTGTTTTCCATTTCTTCTCTCTGGATGTCTTGAGGCTTCCTTGGCTTTTTTAAGGAAAGTTTGGCGTTTAACTCCATAGGTTTAAATAAAGTAGTTTTGCTCTCGATGCTCTTTTTCAAGGAATCAATAAACTATAGCGTTTAATCCCATAGCTTTACATACACGCAGTATTAAAACTATCAAACCATAACACCACGTCATTCTAACCACTCCCAATGTCCCTAGATCTTGATTGAGTCCGTGTTCTCGACCGTGGGCGACGGCGGCGACCTCGACGTGGCCACGATGCCCCACACGGACATCGAGCCGCTCCTTCTGGTGTACTCCTCCGTCAGGCACCGCCGCCAGTCCAAGGAGGAGCTGGACCAGATGATCTCCCACGAGTACGACAATTCGGTGACGAAGGTAAGATGGCGCGACGATCGATTTATCGTGTGTTTTGGTCAGACTGGTTGCTGGATTTTACACGTATGCGTACACTCACACGCGCGAGCTCGCAGGTGCACAGATGTAGAGGGAGATGATGAGCGAGAGAAATAAAGAACGAGAGAGAGAAGAGAGAGGAAAGATGTGAGAGTTGTAGGGAGAGAGGGAGAGGGGGAGGGAGGGAGCGAGAGACAGAAAGAGAGAGAGAGGGAGAGGGGAGAGGGAGAGAGAGACAGAAAGAGAGAGAGAGAGAGGAAGAGAGAGAGAGGGAGAGAGAGAGAAAGAGAGAGAGATCAGAACAGAAAGCAAAACAACGAAAAATAACAAACTACAAAAGACCGAAGAAAAAAGTAGCCCTATCCACACCACCACCTACAACTTCTCCTCCTCAGCCTTGTCCCCTATATGGGATCGCCGTGTGGATGAGCCGCCTCCGCTAATCATTACGGCTCGTTCCATATTGCTTTTGCCACGGTGTTTTTACCGTCGGATGCCCTTCCTGACACCAACCTTCTCTATTTACCCGAGCTTGGGACCGACACACCCCGACGTCTTCCAAATCACACTCCCTCCCACCTCCTCCTTCTCCTCCTACCCCCAGAGGCAGCGCCGCGCCCTCCCGCCCGACGCCCATTCGAGGACAAAGAGGCAGAGCGGCGTCGAGTCCCGACTTCGAAGAGAGCGGCGAAACACAGCAGCCGAGGAACAGGAGGAGGAGAGCAACCAGATATGGGAGGGAGAACAGGATTACACGGGTCTCCCCTCGCACGCTCACAACTCGCTTGCAGGTCAGTATCAATGTTTGTTTTTTTCGTCGTTCGGTTTGTTTCGTTGTTGTTGTTGTTGTTGTTGTTTGAGGGAGGGGTATGGAGAATTATTTTTAAAAATGGGGAAAAGTGATTTTTGGGGGTGGGAGAGGTGGGGAGAACATTTTAAATGGAAACAACGATAGATATATAAGTAAAAGCTCAAAAATTTAATTTTTTTTTATATTTTTTATTTTGTTGTTGTTTTTTATTGGTCTGATCCTATTTCTCTTTGTGTTTG